AACTAATGCAGATAAGTAAAACGCTACCAGGAGTGTGAGACGTTACCAGTGAATTAATCAGCAGATCTTGTCACAAGTTGAATGGTGGCAATGCCAGGAGCCTCCTCTCTAAACAAACAAAAACACACAGAGAATTAGTTATTATCCAAGCCCACGTTTAAGTTTGTGTGACTCATGTGATGTATTTCTCTGATGTATAGACAGTAGAACAGCACAGAGAGATGCCAGCATAGAGAGAGAGAAAAACACAAAAAAACCTTTTGCGTCATGCGAGAACATCAAGCTCTTGGTTATAATCTTATTAAATGATCTCAGATGAAAGATGGCACCAAATTAGTGGTTAAGAAGGGAGGTGATATTTCTAAAGTGAAAATATGCATATCATCATTTTCATTTGCATATGAAAAAATGCAAAATGTGAAGTATATGTAGTTCAGTTACGATATGTGATGTGTCTACAACTGACTGATTGTGTAACTGTGGCACAAATACATTTCTCTCTAGTAAAATTACAGAACAAACACCATCTCCTATAACACACAAATACTGTATTCATTGCTTGTATTCATCAGAAATATTAATGTCATAAAAACTAACTTAATTTTTCCATTAAACGTGTAATTTTCAGTGCAGACAGACACGAACAGACTACCGGGCGACAAGACGAACATTATAAAATGATCCAAAAATGAGCAAGAAGTAATTCAATCAAATGAATTACATTTCTGAGCGAAGAAAAATATTAAAAAATACGTTTTTAAATAGTTTTAAAATGCAGGTAGAAATTAATGAACTGGGTTCATGTGTTTGCTTTACTGATTTACTTGTGCTGTAATGTTATTAGTAGTAGTAGTATTGTTATTATAACATAACTTCAGAGAAACGTGTTTTCACATGAATAGAGCAAAAAAATGTTTCCCATCAATGTGCATCATATGTAGTGGCTTAATTACTAGCAAAACCTCATGATTGATGTTACTCCAGTAAAAAAAAATTTTTTTGTTTCATATTCTTAAACAAGCAAGTTACTGTGATTATGTTGTTAATAGCTTTTCCAATAATTTAACAGAGGTCTGCAACAATTTGTAGTGTGTGCAGTTCACTCAGTCAAAATTAATTAAATATAAAATGGGAGAAGTTTTTATTTTGCCTTTTTTCGGGCTTTTTAATTTTTTTTGTCTATTAAAATCTTAAATAACTTAAATTTCAAAATTGATTTCCTGAAACAAACTTAAATACTGAATACTCTTTGTGACTGAATGAACGAGTGGGTTGATGAAGGACGAGGAAGAGCGCTCCCTTTTCTGATCTCTCGCGTTCATAGATGTTGATTAACGCAGCGCTTCTCGCAACAGAAAGCAGAAAACCGTCTCCCGTTCCAGCTGTTTACAATCTCCTGCTGAATACATATAAGGCGACAACATAAGCCCTTTCCCCTTTCCCGCGCTTCAGCGGGTGTGTATTTGTCATTCCAAGCAAAATCCACTGCAGATGGTGGTGAGGACTGAGTTCTGCTGAAAGTTAGTTTGGTAGATTTTTTTTCTCTGTATGTTGATTCCATATCGATGGCAGGGGTCTTTTATTATGCCTCCATGCTCCTTAGTGCCTCTCAGCGTTTGACTGTGTGAGAAAAAAAGTGTTTTATTGGGAGGTTGTTTAAGAATTTCTCCCAGTTTTGTGCCAAATGCTGAAAGTGATTTCATGACTTGATATGTTGAACTAATGGGGAAAACTGAAAATGTATAAATAACAGCAAAAACAATGGAATTACCAGTAATTTGTGGTGAGCGTTAACAGCCAGCAGCATAACATAACCTGCACTACTTCTTACTTTCTAAATGATCTACAGTGCTTTCACTGAGTATTGTGCCATGAGCTGCACGTGACTGTTGTTCCAGCTCACGTTACTTCTGCGAGGGTGAAATAACAGCTCCGTCTTGTGAATTTGATGATAAATGAACACGTACCGTCTGAACTATATCAAATTGTGTTTTCTGAGAAATCAGCGAGAAAACAAAGATGTTACCGAGTGCACCCCCAGGCTCTTCAGTGAGACCGAGAGAAAAGCATGAGAATAAGAACAGCAGCTGTTCAACCCTGTCATCTCATGAGGAACATCCAGAGAAAAGTGCCAACGCTGTGCCAACTCATTTCAGCTTTATTGAGTATTCCCGTCCCTCAGCGTCATACAGAGAACACTCAGCACAGCACATAAAATATCTTCACTTCCAAAATTTTTCCTCGAAGTCTGAAACTCCAGTGGCTCCTCGTGAGTATAGATGCACAGCACACAGACATACACAAAACAGATTTCACCACCTCTGAAACTCACTTCCAGGAATATTTAGTTGCTATTATTCAGCAAGAAACCATCTTTGTGTCACAGACTGTTGTCTCTTAATCGCAATAAGCTCTTTGATCTTGACATCATTGAACTATCAATCAACATTTAAACATCTTGATGGGACCACAGCAGCTGTGATGCCAGTGATGCCCTCCAAACACCAGAGTTGAGGCCAGAAAAGTACAACGTATGCCACTGGATGATGAGACCAACTGCCTGCTTTCTGTACCAAGACACAGTCTCATCACACAAAAGGAAAAACAAAGCACAGCCACTGAAAAGACAAAACTAAAGGCAAAAACTGGTTATTTGGACCTGAAAAGAGATAAATAAGCACAATGTCTCTCTAGTTTGAGCCAGAATTTAAAAAAAACTTAATCAAGGAGAGACTCACTGTGAACAAAGTGAAAAGGGCAGACATGAAAAGATCGATCTCACCCTGTCACCCTCGCTGCTGTCCCGCAGCCTCAGTGACTCCAGATCCATCACTCTTACACCTGTGGGAACAAAATGCTTTAAAGGCTGGTGCTTCAACAGATCAAAGACTAACCCCCATCAGTCTGGCGATAAAGCAAGCAGATCCACCAGTGATGCCATCTCCACTGCCCTCCATATTGCTCTTAGTCACCTGGAATGCCTTAGATTTGCTGTAAGACTGCTCCTTGGCAACTATACCTCGACTTTTAATACCATCATCCCTGACATTGTAGTGAATAAGCTGGGTCGCTTCTCCCTTTTTCCATATACGGACGTGACTGTACTCCCACCCACCCCACCAATGCAATAATAAAATGTGTATACAGTATGTCCCCATCCCCACCTTTAAATTCCTGGGAACTCATATCTCTGAGGAGCTTTCATGGTCAGCTAACAGAACATCTGTGATGGAGGAAGCTCTTAAGGGTTCGACAGATTAGTTAACTGGAGGAGAGGCTACTGGTGAGCTTCTGCCACTCTATGGTTGGGAGTGTGTAGTCATTTGAGATCACTGTGTGGTACGTCGGCTGTAGTGTAGCCGACAAGCAAACACTGCAAATGGTGTTAAGGTCAGCTTAAAAAAGGACTATAGGATGTCCTTTAACCTCTCTGTATGGGAGTGCTAGCTCTCACCAGAGCAAAAAGAATCTGAGACCGCCTCATCCTGGCCACCACTCGTTCAGCCATACCGCCCTCAAGAAGGAAGTGCAGAAGCATCAAAAGTAGCCCATATGGAAAAGATATATCTTATAGAGTTTGTATCTGTCTTGTGTGAAACTTGTATGAAAAGCATATAAGAGTGAAAACAGATATAAGATCCCTTGAAAAATTATATAATGAAACTTGTATGTTTTGGATACTTACTAAAACAATGTATGAAAGTAATGAGAAAGTGGCCACTTTCATGAGTAATCACATATAAGTTTTTACTATTTCTTTTCCATATGGGAGAACAAGTTGATTAAGAAATAGCTTCTCCACATGGGCGGTAAGGACACTAAATACACACTCCTAACACTGATAACACACAGTGTTACTTTATGCTGGAGTCAGCCCAAGGATCTTTTGCACATCTTCAGCTCATTCAAAATGCTGCTGCCCACCTCTTGACTGATACCCGCAGGCACAAACATATAACACCTATCCTGTCCTCTCTTCAATGGTTTCCTGTTCATGACAGAATCTATTTCAAATTCCTAACGCTGGTTTATAAATGCCTAAATGGTCTTGGTCCTGCATACCTTTCCAAGCCTTATATTCCTTCGCAGGCCCTTAGATCAGCCGACCAGCTGCTTTTGGTTGTCCCGAAATCTAGGCTAAAACATAGAGGAGAACGAGCGTTTTCAATTATGGCTCCCAAACTTTGGAATACGCTGCCTTTCAATATTACATAGGCATCTTTGTTTCCTGTTTTTAAGTCACTTTTGAAAACACACCTTTTTTCTATAGACTGGTGTGAGTTGATATGTTTATTATGTGTTTATGTGAGTGTCAGTGTTTTTGTCTTACCCCTTTGTTTCTGTACAGCACTTTGGGCAAACTTTCTGTTTTTAAATGTGCTATATAAAGGAATTGGATTTGGATTTGGACAGTATAACTCTCGGATCCAATAATTTGGTTGTGTGTGATTTAAGCAACATGCCTGTTTACTTGTGTTTGTTACTTTTTGATGTCTGCTTTCATGACTTTTCTGTTACATGTCTGTGTTTCATTGTGTTTTTTTCAGTATTAATGCACCTTCAGATGTAGCATCTTATCTTATTTTGTCTTATAACCTGGTCAGCAGGTGAGGCTAAAGCAGTAATGCACCTCCTCTGTGAATTTAGCTGTGGGGAGCAATTATGAAATTCAGTTCTGTAATACATTTTATATACGTTTTTATATATTTTATAAATTTTATATATTTAACACGAGAGGCATTTGAACAGGTATCGAGGTCTCGAGTTAAAACTAAGTGGGGGAAAGCTGCATGATGGGGTGGGGTTAATTTGCAGCCGTAAACAAGGCAAAGGTGGCAAGAGGTGGATGAATATGTTATTTTCTGGGGAGGCTCTTAACCTACATTCCAATAAAGCCAACCCACTGAGAGAGAGAGAGATCCACTGAGCTCCTGGAAGTCCACAGTGTTATCGGGATGTATTTAAGCACCATCTCAGTTTAACTTTGCACGGTACATGCTTAACTCGATAGTAATCCTACATTTTGAGGGTTGTTTTTTTTCTGAATTCCACATGTCGGACATGCTCTGAGACACTGGTCGGACTCGGACTTCACTCCTGTAGGCCTATTTTATTTGGCGACCTGCAGGTTATTTTATTTGGTCTGAGCATCGCCGCCGGAGCGCAGCGGGAGCAGGACAGCCTCACAGCCTCAGGATGAATGTACCTGCCGTCATGTTGCTCATCCACTTGACCCACATTCATTTGAAAGGTAAAGACACTTTAATGCATTCAATAGGTTATTTCAATTATTCTTCGTACTTTAAACAGATTTAATTTTTTTTTATTTTTTGTTCATGTGCCAGCATGTTTGATGGACACGAATATCGAGAAACACGAAGGGGCAAAAAAATCTGCGCAGCATTATTTACACTGTTAACTGCAGGATTGAAACCATGCGCTCCCCTTTCAAAGAGTCTCGTCTGTCCTGCAGTGATCTGAGACGGACTGAGGTGTTATTCCTGCCGCAGAGGGTGGAAAAGTCTCAAAAACACTGCGAGTGCTCATTTCAGCGTGGGCAGAATGATCTGAGAGAAACAAAACGAACACAGACCCTAAAATTCAGGATGCGATACGGACGCTCTGATAGGCTTGAATTTGCATTGCCGAGAATTTGTGTAAGCGCTAAATTGCTCAACGGGACGAAACTGTATCAACCATTATGACGAATTAAAGTATGAATGATATTATTTTACGTTTTTCTGATTTTTTTCATCCACTGCAACATGAATGAACATTTCCTCCACAACTTGCCACCCTGAGACTCATCTCATCTCCCACAGCATTAGAAAAGTTTGACTGTGTGATGTTGTCTATAAGCGCCCAATTAACTGTTAAGAAAATCCCCACGTCCTAATATGAAGATCAATAAATTATATGTGTTTAATACTGTAGGCTTTGTTTTTTTAAAACAAAAGGGGGACATTAATAATGAGCAGTGCTAACATCATGACGGAGGCATGTGTGAGTCAGGCGGCAAACAAGAGACCACACAACATTCACACTTCAGGAAATTATCAGCTGCATCACTTACAAGAGTTTATTTAATACATGTTTACAGAACGGACCCCATTTTTTACATTTTAATTCAGTGTCCAGGACGCTCTTGAGTTTACTGATTTAATCTATGAGTCATGGATCAACAAGCAGCTGACAGCACAGGTTGCGCCAGTCCTTCCCTCTTTCTGGTCAGGCATATTTTCTGTGTTCAGCTCACCTGCACTACAGATGTTTCCAGTTGTGCAGCCAGGGAGGTTCAACTGCAGAAAATACAGTGAAGCAAGAGCAATAATTCAGCCAGTAGTGAAACCCATTACTGTTTTTACAATTCAGTGTTTTGGGCTAATTTAGGTTTTGAAGTTACAGTGATGTGAATCAGAGGCTCCTCAGCTTATCCCAAAATCATGCTTATTTTTAAAATTTGGAGAAAAAAAATCTGCAAATTGAAGAAGTTTTGATTTTATTAATATATTTAATATATTTACAGATATGCATAAAATCATCATTTGAGTATGTATTGGCGTTGATCACCTGATATTTGACCCGTTGGTGACTGAATAGAAACACTCGAGGTGAACAGGCAGCACAGAGGCAGACATGATGTCACTTTGTGTTCTTTCTCCACTGCTCTCTTTATGTGTGAATGTTCCCTCTGCCTCAGACAAAGGTGTGAAATTAAGTCTATCTTTATGGTTACTGGAAGACTCTCGAGACACCGGTATACTGTTTTCTTCCATGACTGCCTGAGTTCTCTCAAATGTGGTCATATTTCAAGTAAAGCAGGCTGTATATGTTCATTATACACAAAAACAGAACAGAGTGTTGATCCTTTGATGGAAGTGGCCTGTAATTCATCCAACAAACAACTCAGTCACCAACAATTTGAACATGAATTAAAACATGATGCATGCAGTGCGGGATTATACTAAACTCCACAAATTTTGCACGAGTAAGTTCTGGCTTTAAAATCAAAGAGTGAGATCACAAACTTAAAAGAATCGTGCTGTGAAAATAACATTTCCATCATCCTGATTTCATCTTTTTTTTTATATTTCTTGCACTTGGGTTTTTCAGATTATCAAACAAATTTTAATATTGGACAAAAACATGCAGTGCAAATATGAAATGCAGTGTTCAAATGCTGATTTTATTTATTAAGGGGAAAAAGTCGACCTGACCGTGTGTGAAAAAGTCATTACAAGGCATTACGTAAAAAGAATATGATACCAACAATCAAACATGGTGGTGGTATACCACTATAGTGTGACGGTCTGGGGTTGCTTTGCTGCTGGAAGACTTGTTGTAATTGATGGAACCACGAATTCGTCTCTCCAGCAGAAAACCCTGAACAAGAGTGTCCAGAAGCTCGAGAGCACTTGGGTTTTACAGCTGTTTCACGGAGTTGTTCTGACCCTTGAGCCATATTTTGTGCCCATGAGAGGGTTTTCTTTCACAGTCATAGACATAACAGCAGCAACAGTTTATACCAGGGGTGTCAAATGTACAGCCCGTGGGCAGGATGTGGTGTCCAATACAATTATATCCACCCCACTAGATAATTTTATGTGTCAGTTATTATTGGCCCGTTAGTAAGTGGGAGACTAACTTTAAACCCTGCTGAAAATCCTTGCAGGCAGGGATGGGACTGGCACACCATTCAGCCAATCAATCGGCCATTGTGTGAAGGAAGGAACGGGGCAGACGTTCCAAGACAGCAAGTGTAGTGCTGCAGGTCAAGTACACAGAGAGATGGCAGAACTGCCAAAACCTTTTTTATCTGTAATGTCCTTACTCGTATTGGTAAATAGACTAGTGGACAGGACAAAGGGGTTATATATGAAATATAATGTTTGCAAGTATCTTAAGGACCTCATCATTTTACCTACATAACCAATTAAAATATCTTTGTAGAACTATTGCTATGTTGTTGCAATTTCTGCCGCCCACTTGGCCAGACCCTTTAACTGGATAAATAAAGGATATATGAAAAGTGCCAAAAGCTACATTCTGACAGGAATGTTTGTAGCTCAAGATGAATTATATGAATTATACTGTTCACGAGGGACCATAATTTCACATGTTATGGACGAGTGATTTATAGCTTTTATAACGATTTTTGGCGGACAATCAATTTTTGGCAAAACACTGGATTCAAATGCAAGCGTGTTGGGAAAAAGTGAAGCAAACTGAGCAGTGTCTGGCTGCATTTCAATGCAAAGCTGAGTGCAGAATTTATAGAATTAGGGGCTGGCTACAGTGATACCTGTTTTTATTTTCAGCTATTTTCTATTGTGGAGGACAAAAGGTTTCAAACTTCTCCAATCCTGTTTTATGACTACTGTTAAAAAAATAAACAAAAATAAAAATAGAAAACTGGACAGTCTGAGCAATGAGCTGCCAGAACTTATTCTGTAATTTTGCAGAGTCACGCTGACAGATTTCCGTTTTTGTAACAGCAGCTTCTTCTTTAACATGTAGAAAAACAGTTAAATATGTGACTTCTTTACACAGGAAGCAGAGTTTCACCAGTTTGCCCACTTATGTTTAAAGCAGGCTGTATGTGGCCCGTGATATAAAACGACTGACACCTCTGGTTTCGAAGTACTGAATCAGGCATTCACAAAAAGAAGATGTCACAGCCACATTTCACTTTCTCTTTTATTAGTTGCTGCTTTTAGCTTCAGTCTCACAGTGCTGGCAGCCTGCAGGACCTTCAGTCACTAGGGAAAAGTGATGGTATTCCTCGACTGGCGTCAAAGAGGGTTCCACGCTACAAACTTCCCTAAGACTGCTTTGGTTGGTGTCAGATTGCTAGGGCTGCCTGTAGTTTGCACTGAAGATGGCAATTTGCCTCCAAACACCCACTGACTAAACATCAGCAAGCAGTAGTAAATCTTAAAAAGCCTGAAACTTTCCGTAAGCCCTCACTATGCGCCTGTCACACCTTTATTTTAACTATATCGTTTATTTATTGTATATTAGACAATTTTTTTCTTTTTTCTATTATTTTTTTTATTATTGTCAACTGAATAGAGAATTATCTATTTTCCTTAGCAACCAGTGGTTACTAGGGCGTTACTGACGGGTCTCTATGACCGGGGCTTTAGAAATTGATTTCACAGCAACTGCCAGGAACCTGAAAAACCACATAAAAGTGGTCAGGGAATTTTTGTTGTTTCTACATGAGTGGTGTCAATCATAAGGTTCAGGGGCCTGAATTGATCCTCAAAGACTCAAATCTGGCCCATTTGGAAAATTGGATCAATGTGAGCTGTATGTGGCCCTCAATTTAAGATGAGTTCAGCATCGCTGTTCTACATATTACATAAAGCATGGAAAAAACTTTAAGTGCATTGTTTTTCTTAATATTTATGTTGAAAGTAAATCGTTGCATTGTTTAAATTGCATGTTTTCTATCGCAAATTTTTACAGTACTGTTAATCACTATTATTAAAACTGTGGATCAGGGCCCACATTTTCTGACATGACACAAAGAAAACGGGGATTCGGTTTAACATACCAACACTATGAGCCTTAAAATTCCCTATTTGGAGAGCTCACTCATTAAGTCAGGTAACTTTACTTACACTGTAAGTGTACATAGCAACAAGATCACATAAACAAAGATTAAAAAAAACATGACAGTAACCATTTAAATGAGATAACAAAATAAAATTGTATAAACGCCCTGGGTTAAATTTATAAAAGGGCTTAAATAAAAAAATCAATTAGAAAATTAAATGCACAAATAAAATCCAATGTAATGGAAACATGGTTTGACAAAACCACGAAGCATCTCAGGCTTGACTTGTGTTTGCGTTTGATTTAAAATTGCGAATCACTGGACCGGTTCTTATGTGGGAAGACAGATTATTCCAGAGCCCAGAAGCAACAGCAGAGAAAGCTCGCCTCGGCACGTTTTTTAGGAGAGAGGAGACCACTGAGAGAAGTTTTCGGGAGGATGACCTCAATGAACTGAAGGGAAATTGGGGAATTAAAATATCCATAACATATTGTGGATCTGATTGGCAGAGGGCTTTAAAAACTGTGACGTCTTTTCTTTATTCCCTGGTCAGTCACATTCACTTGCATTCCATTGAATGTGTTTTCGTTTTTTATGCTTAATGTGCAAAAAAACAACAATAAAAGCTGGTGGATCTAGCTAATCATTACACATTAATAATAAATGATTAATAAACCACGTGTGCACTG